CATCATCATCATCATCGTCATCATCATCATCATCATCATCATCATCATCATCATCATCATCATTGTCATCATTGTAAACAGTAGAGAATTTTTAAAAAAGGGTTGAGACTTGTAGAATTTCCAGGAAATTTTTATAAAGGTTCAACGTTTCATCCGATTATGGGCTTCATTAGGAACATACAAAAAAATAATGTTAGATCAAATGACTACACGCCAGCCATAGTAACCAAAATGCGTGCATCTACGTCACAATGCTAAAAGGTGCAATAGGCAAAACACAAATCGGAAAAACATCATCATCCTCATCATCATGATCATCATCATCATCGTCATCATCATCATCATCATCTTCATCAACATCATCATCATCATCACCATCATCATTATCATCATCATCATCATCATTGCAGAGAAAGAAGATTAGGAAAGGACTCTTGGATAATTTTTGGTGAGGACCCTAAATGTATAAATAAATCAATCAACCAATCAACCAACCAATCAATCAATCAAACAATCAATCTACCTGTCTGTCTATCTATCTCTATCTCTATCTGTCTCTATCTCTATCTCTATCTCTATCTCTATCTACTATCTATCTATCTATCTATTTATCTATCTACATTAGTTTGGTTACTAAATCTGATCCACATTTCCCGTTAAAGGCTTCTTTAAGGCTATCAACCCATTTGCTCGTTCCCACGTTAAATTCTGAGATCCAGCCTCTTTTATACATCATCGTCATCGTTAGAGCCCAACTACTTCTCTTGTTTATGTTTTCACTTGATGTCTCATCAGACAAAAAGAAGTGTCTGTACTGACAACGTTTAGATACTCACAGTTAGGAACACATTTTAAAAATTCATCCGTTTCTTTTATCCAGCACCGAGTACTCACAAGAAGAAGGATAAGGAACGATGGACATTTAAAAAAAGGCAAAACGGGAGAAGGGGGGCATTTACTGTTGAACGGATCGGAGGGAATTTTTTCGCGTTAATATAGGACATTTCAGTTGCTCTGTATCGATCTATATTATGGTCTCAGAAAGACGTTGCCTACCCGAAAAGAGAAACGGTCTATTCTTCGCACGGAATTGCGTAGAGTACAACTCCATCCGACTCGCACTTCTATCCTTGATTGTTATTGCTTGTATCTGAATCCCTTTTGGACGCAAACCGGATATTTATGGGGCGGAGAAGTTTTTATGGAGGTCTTCTATTGTAAGACTTATAAATAAAGGAGGAGTAAAGACAGAATAGAAAAAACACACCAAAAAAACAACAACACAAAAAAACAACAAAAAACAGCACGCCAAAATGATATCATACATGAACGCCTGAGCATTCGTTTTCATATTTCGATTGTTCAACGTAGACTCGGTGATACGTCCCTTTTCAAAATGGTGTGTGGTGGAGTTTTAAAATATACTTATAAATTGAGTATCTTATTTTATTGTAAGGATTTTTATGCTCAAGATTATGGAAAAGAAAACAATAGGTCTTTATTCGCCTTTATCAAGTTCATAGTAAGCTACTGTGCAGATCCAGACTGTTGGAGATGGAGGTGTGTCACAAACCAGCTGACCCAGAATTATTTTCCTCCAGCTAACTCAAAAGAAGCCAGGCAAAATCTTGATGTTGCCATCATTGGAGTTCTGCAGGCAGAGCGGGGCAACAGCAATTACGGTCAATGTCTGGATATATTTTGGGATGTTGCAGTTTTGTTTGCAGGGTAGCAAAGCAAAGTAAACCCAATAGAAAAGCAGGCGACAAAGACAGATGGACACCTTAGACATAGACAGAGACACTTTAAAAGTAAAAAAATAAAAAATGCTGAGAGCAGCATCAACAAATGAGGAGGAAAATGGGAATAAGCTTTGAAATGAACTAAAACAAAAAGCTAGACACATTGCACTCACCATCGCTGAGCATTCGAGGAAAAGACGGCTTCGTCGAAGGAGTTCTTATTTCAAAACCCACATTTTATTGTAAATGTTTTATTTGCACAAGAAATACACACCGTGCGCTTTGATATTGTGTTAAATATAATAAATGGCATTTTCGCCACCTTGATTTTAGATTAGTTCTTATGACTTGTTGTATGCATTCTATTGCTAACGCCTTTAATCACCCAACTTCCTATGCACAGCGCTCCATTAATGAGAAAAACCTTCGGCAACATAAAAAGTAAGAATTATAAAAAAAAATTGAAACAATAATACCACTTGAATCCTTTCATTTACATCCAAATATTATAATTTTCAAGGTCATGCATTAATGGGTAAAGAAGTTGTTTCTTTTTCTCAACTTTGAGAACAACTCATGTCAAGTTCTGTCTCCTTGATAACTTAATTAAGCTTTTCCCTCATGTCGTCCTCTAAAAAAACTTTCATCCTGGTTGTTTGTTTTTTTGCACTGGTGTTGAGCTTTCTGAGAAATGTTTTTTTTTTCAGCCTCTCTTACAAAATTAATACGGATACATACCCACAAGCAGACTTACCCTCACTCTCAAACAACCTCTCTCACATTCACTCAGGCACGCATACAGAATTAGAAATTCTACACTTTTTGCCATGGAGCTGAAGTGTAGTTTTAGCGGGTATATTTTTCATTTCTTGAAAGGAATTTTTTGCTCAAGGTTCTGGCAAATGCATAATATTACCTTGCTCTGTTATTTGTTCTGCCCGATGTTCCTCTATCTAACCTCACTGTTTCGATTCAAACGCCAACAAAAGCTTTTTGGTTACTTTGTGCACGTGTCCTTTTGGCCGTTTATTTATCTTTGAAACACTCCAGGGTATTGTTAATTTAATTAATACCTGCTAAAACAGAGTACTCTCCATGAAGTACGAAAGATGCCCTGGCCGCTATTGCGTCATACAGCCAACAGCAACCAGATGTTGTGAACACTGGTCAACAAAGGCTGTTCCAGTGTTGTTTCACCCTTAATGTTGCTTTGATCCTAATTTCATCTTGGACCACAGAAAGATCGGTCATAGAAAAATGCTAGCCACAGAGACATCAACTGTTAAAAAACAACTGCCCTGGCTGGGTTAATCATTCGTTAAATA